CAACCTGCCCCTCCTCATTAAACTTTTCCTTACTCGAGTCCTTGACCCCTGAAAGCACAATGGCTTTCAGCAGGCAAATGTGCCATATTAGTGAACAATGAGAGACAATTTGGCAGAAGTTTTCCTTCATGTGTCTCTACTTCATTCCAATTCCCAGAGGAAACTGGGCTAATCTTTTCTAAACTCAACACCACTGCACAATACTTCAATCAAATTCTATTACCTATTCTATAAATCTGGCTTTCTTGGTTATCTCTTTTAATTTTATTGTTAACTTCTATTACCATCTTCTCTCCTTTAGCAAGCAGATCATGGCAGGGACTGCTATAATCTTTTCTGTCTATCTTTCTTTAGATATGCCTGGCAATTACATATGAGAAAATACTGTCACTGCCGGTTTGCTTAAGCTACCTTATTAAATATCTTATAAAGTAGCTTATCTTCTCACATTCACTGCCCAAATTTCCATTGTATTAGTTTTCTAGAGCTGCCATAACAAAGTAGTACAAACTGGGTACCCTAGAAATGGATTCTCTCAAAGTGTCAGAGTCTAGAAATCAAAAAATCATTGTCATATCTGAAAATCCATGCTCTTTCTCCCAGCTTCTGGTGATTGCCAGCAACCCTTGTCATTCTTAGATTTGCATCTATATAACTCTAATATTTGTGTCGTCATTACATGGCATTCTCTCTTCTCTGTGTCTGTGTCTTCAAATGGCTTTCTCCTGTGTATTTGTCTCTTTCATTCTACTAATTTTGAATTGAATTTGCTCCTGTTATTCCAGTTTCTTGAGTTGCCAGGTTAGGTTATTTGAGATCTTTCTAGATTTTTGATATAGGCGAATACTGCTATAAATGTCCCTCTTAAAACTGTTTTTGCTGTATCTCATTGGTTCAAGTATATAATGTTCCCCCTTTATATTTGACTCAAGAATTTTTTTAAAAAATTCCTTTTTAATTGCTCCATTGACCCATTAGTGGTTCATGAGGATGTCGTTTAATGTCCATGTATTTGTACCATTTCCAAAGTTCCTTTGGTTATTGATTTCTAGTTTTATTCTATTGTGATCAGAAAAGATAATATAATTTTGATTCTTTTACGTGGCCTAACATATGACCTTTCCTGGAGAATATTCTATGTACATTCAGAAGAACATGTATTCTGCAGCTATTGGACAGAATGTTTTGTAAATGTCTGTTATGTCCATCTGGTCTAATGTGTGGTTTAATTACAATGTTTCTTAGTTGATTTTCTGTCTGGAAGATCTGTCCATTTCAGTTCCTTACAATTATTTATTGCAGTATATTTGTCCTTTTAGATCTATTTATATTTTCTTTATATATTTTAGTACTCTTACATTGAGTGCATATGTATTTATAATTATTGTATTCTGTTGCTGTATTGGCCTTTTTATCATTACATAATGGCTTTATCTCATTTTAGAGTTTTGGTTATTTTATCAGATATAAGTATAGCTATTCCTACTCTTTGTTTCCATATGCATAGAATATCTTTTTCCACCTCTTCACTTCCAATATATGTGTGTCTTTACAAGTGCAGTGAGTCTTTTGTAGGCCAAAGATAGCAAGGACTTGTTTTTATTCAATCAGCCACTTTATGTCTTTTAATTGAAAAATTTGTTTCATTTACACTCAAGTTAATTGTTGATAGATAAGGGATTACTACTGCTATTTTGATACCTGTTTTCTAGTTGTTTTGTAGATCCTTTCTTCTCTTACAATCTTCCTTTGTGTGTAAATGATTTTCTCTAGTACTGTTTTGATTCCTTGCTTTTTATTTTTAATATATCTATTATAGATTTTTGCTTTATGGTTACCATAAGGCTGAAAAAAATCTGACAGTTGATAACAAGTCATTTTAAAATAATTTCTTAACTTTGATAACAAAGAAAAGAGAAATAACAAAAAACTGTACACATAATTTCATTCTCCTCCCACATTTTGAATTTTTGATGTCAGTTAACATTTTTAGATTTTACATTTTATACTCTCTAGTTAATATTTTTAATAGTTTTCTTTTATTCTTCATACTAAGATATAAGTGGTTTATGTTCCACAATTATAGTATTAGAATAACAATCACGTTTGCATTCTTTTCTTTAGATTATAACTCCCTTCAGTATTTCTTATAGGACAAGGCTAACAGTAATGAATTCCCCATAGCTTCTGTGTGCCTAGTAAAGTCTTTACCTCTTCTTCATTTCTGAAGGACAGCTTTGTTGGATACAGTATTCATGATTGGCAGTTTTATTTTTCTTTAGTACTCTGAATACATCATGTTCCATTCCATCCTGGCCTTAAGGTTTCTGCTGAAAAGTCTGTTGTTAGATGTACTGGAGTTCCCTTATATGCTATTTGCTTCTTTTCTTTCTCTATTTTCAGAGATCTCTATTTGTCATTAACCTTCCAAAGTTTGATTATGTCTTGGGGTATTCTTATTTGGGTTGGATCTGATTGATGAGCTTTGATCTCCCAGTTCCTGTATATTTATATCTTTCCCCAGGTTTGGAAAGTTTTGTTATTATTTCTTTGAATAAACTTCACACTACTTTGTTTTTCTAAACCCTTTCTTTAACTCCAACAACTGGAATATTTTTCCTTTTAATGTTGTCCCATCAATTCCAAAAGCCTTCTTCACTGTTTTTTCCATTCCTTTTTTTTTTCCTCCTCCTCTGATTTCCAAATAGCCTGTCTTTGAGTTCATTAATATTTTTTTTCTTCTATTTGATCAGTTCAGCTTTTCATGGTCTCTGTTTCATTTTTCATTGTGTTCCCTATATTTTTCCACCCCAGCATGTTTGTGCTTTTTAATTATTATTTCAATCTTCATTAAATTTCTGATAAATTTCTGAATTGTTTTTCTGTATATTTTTGAAGTTCATTGATCTTCCTTAAAACAGCTATTTTACCATTTTTGTCTGAAAGATCACAGTTTCTATCACTTTAGGCCAGTCCCTCATGCCTTATTTTGTCCACTTGGTAAGGTCATATTTCCCTAAATGTTTTTGATGCTTGTGGATGTGTGACAATGTCTGCACTTTGAAAGATTGGGCATTTATTCTAGTCACTTCAATCTGGCTTTATGTGCATTCTTCTTCAGCAGATCTTCCACAGACTCTAAGGAGACTGACTATTGTCTTCCCCGAGCCCAAAACCAGTACAGCTATTTCAGCATTAGAGCATTAAAGGGCATGCTAAGCTCAGGTTTGCAGTGAGTCTTGTCAGAGCTCTGAGATTTACACAACATTCTACTCCAGATAGACCTGGGGAAGACCCAAGGAGAGTACTCAGGCTGTATGAAAAATCTGGCCAGAAACCTAAGCCTCAGAAAACTGTTCTGGTAGCTAAGATGGATGTCCATCACCTAGCAGTCCCTGCACAGATGAGGTAGCTCCTTGACTGCAGCAGGAAAGGCCAGGGCTAAGACTGGGGCCCTTGAATCTGCTACAGAATGGCAGCTGGCAAGCCTGTCTTATTAACTCAGATAAGTGTGCATCTCCCAGCAGGTCTCTGCACAGATGGGGGGCTAGTTCCCTGACTGCAGAAGGATCAGAACTGAGGCTGGCTTCTCTCAGGATCTACTATGAGACAGAGGCTAGGGAGCACAATATGGAAGTTCAGACTTCCAAGATGCAAGATATGGGTGAGTCTCACTCTAGGTCATTGTGTAAGCAGTTCTGAGCTGGGACTTCAGCAGAGAAGGGCTGGAGTCAAGTCACAGGGCAAGTTTCCGATTCATTGTTGGCAGGCAGAGAAGGCTCTATGTCGAAGCACTAGTGTGCGTGATTCTTTCTGTACTCCTTCGCAGATGGTTTTGGTTTTAGGCTCAAGACCAAATGGGTTCTTAGCCAAGCTCCTAGAAGAATGGAGTCATTTCCAGGCTTGAACCCACAAGCAAAATCAGTATATCAGCCACTAAGGTGCTAGTCTGCACTCTCAAAATAGCCCTGTAGGTCTTGGGATGCATTGGGGTTTCACAACCTTATACCTGAATCCTGAGGCTCCCACAGAGAGACTTTGGTCTGTGATGGTGCAGAATTATTGTTGTTATGAGGGACGGGAAGGTATGAGTGGGTTACCTTCTTGTTGGCATCATTGCTGTCATCTTACTGGCATCATTCTCCCAGATAATTTTGATGCTGCAAGTCAATGAACCAATAGTCTACAAAATGTGCATACAGCAATGAAACAATGCCTTTTACAGAGTAAACCTTCACTTAATGTTAATTGACATTTTTAATGCTTAGTTCTTATATATCAAGTCTCTTCTTACAGTTGAAATTGTTTTACTTCTTAAATATTTCAATTAAAATGCCACTTTATTTTGCTCACCTTGATGCTTTCTCCCAGTGGGAATTATCAATGAAATTCTTAAATAATAATTTTTTAAGGAAAACAATACTAATTTTTCTGAAGGATGTGGATATCACTGGTTTTACCTTTTGAAGCAAAAGAAGTGAGAGAAGTAAAAAATCAGATTAGAGACTATGGTTATACCTTTATTTAAAAAGATAATACTCAAAAAATACCTTTTCTGGAGGTTTCCTTTAATCATCTTTGCCCATCTACCTCCAAGTTATCCCAGTTCAATAAAACTTACTTTCAGTATTAGTGATAACAAGATTCTGTGCCCTTTGGAGAGTGCCTGAAACGTTTCCTATTTTGTGGCTCCTCAAAGAGACCAAAGGAGGGATTTATAACTGGTGATTACAATCTAACTTCAAGTTCTTGCCCTGTCCTTTCTAAGGACCATTCCTATCCTTTCTAACCTCTAGCTATTCTGCCTTCAAGTTTGGTGAATGGCTAGGATTATCTTCTGGCTCACCCCTCTTATTCTTTTTTCGAACCTCTTGAACTCTGTTACTGCCTCACCATTTCTCCAATGAACTAGCACTTGGGTGACTCTAGCTCAGAGGAGTTAAGCTATGGCTTCTTATTAGACTGCCTTGCTGGCACTACCACTGTTCAAGCGGCCTTACCCCACCCCTTTCTGCGACCAGAAAGGTATCCTTTTGGCACAAGCCTCTGCTGCCATCTGGTGGTCAGAGTTTCACTCTTTTTCTGCCCCATTTCTACTAGCGGTATTAGGCATCCACCCACATCTTGCATTGTGCTGCTTCCACCTATCAGGATAAGAAACAGTATCTCTCATGGTTACTGAGATTAAAAAAAAAAAAAAAAAGACATTTAATTTTAAAGTTAGAGATACAATACTTTTAAATAATCTTGGTACTGTCACATTTCAGTGTGAAATTCATTGTCTCCCAGCACAGTTCCAGCTCTGAATTTAAATTGTACATTTTAAATTCTTTTGAGCTTTAACTAGGCAAAGAAAAACTTCCAGTGGCTTTCTATACAATTAATTTCTGAGCTTTTTTCTCAGTTGTCTGCTGTATAGGCTTTGTATCCTCAGCTGCATGAGAATGACCATGAGGACCAAGATAAGATCCTGGGTTTGCATCTTACAATAACTTTATATATAATGATTGTAATGGCCATAAGTCAAATAGTACCTGTAGGAATCTTTTGAAAAGATTCTTTCTTTGAACTTTAAAATGTAAGCAAAGCTATTCAAACTTGTGGATGTGCCACACTGTCTTTATTTAGAGTTTATTTTTATCCAGGGCACTTACCTAATATTCATAATGCACGTTTGTAAATAGTGGTCCCCCTGCCCAAAGTGAGTAGTCCCAAATTGGGAACCTCACTGAGAAACGACTTAAGAATAGCAAATAAATAACTTCACATGTAAGATAGTTCACAAAATATTCAAAGATAACCTAAGATTAACTCAAAACAGCACTGAAAGAAGACATGCATTCAAATATGCACAGACCTTGAGAATAAGTATGCAAATAGAGTCTATAAAACTCTGATAGAATGTATTTAATACAAGATTAGAAGTGAAATTTTCTCTCTACTACCTCAATCTGAGTGAACCAGAATCAAGAACCCACCTCCTCTGAGCACAGAGTATGAAACATTACTCGTGTATGGAAAAACCACAGAAACATTTTAAAACTAGCTTTTCCACTGACACCTTTGGACAAATGAATTGAATCAATTTTCAACCCAAATCAATGCATTAAATCAGTATTTTCAAATGGGAGTAATTTTGTCTTCCTCCCACTACTGCGACCCCAACCCTCCCTCAGGAGATATTTGGCAAAGTGTGGAGACATTTTGGTTGTCACCTGGGAGAGGGTGCTACTGGCATCTACTGGGAAGAGGCTAGGAATGTTACAAATACCCTACAACGCACAGGACAGACTCTCACAACAAAAAAGTATCCAGCCCAAAATGTCAATAGTGCCAAGGTTAGCTAGGACTACAGGTAGGTGCCACCACACCCAGCTAATTTTTCTATTTTTAGTAGAGATGAGGTTTTACCATGTTGGCCAGGATGGTCTTGATCTCATGACCTCGTGATCCGCCTGCCTCAGCCTCCCAAAGTGCTGGGATTACAGGCGTGAGCCACTGCATGTGGCCGACAGAAGCTCTTCTTAATCAGCTCTGGCAAAGAGAGCACATCTGGTTAAGCTACTCAACTGAAGCCACTAGTTGGCTGAATTGTCTCTAGATTAATATCCTCCTCTAGAATTGGATATTTGCAGGAGCAAGATTAGTATATTAACACAGAAATATTATAAAGACCATCTCCCTCCCACTTGCACCTTTAGGTCTTTAATTTCTTCCATTCCTTTTCCATCCCCCTTCCCAAAATGAAATGTTTTTATTTCCTATCTTTATGGGGCTAGGACAGTTTTCCCACTGTAGTTTCACCAAAATTCATGTCCTTCCTGGAGGCTCAGAATGTGACAGTATTTAGAGAAAGGATCTTTGCAGATGTAAAAAGATGAGGTAATATTGGAGTAGGGTGGGCGCTAAATTGACTGGCAACCTTTGAAGAAGACACAAGACATTCACAGGGAAGACAGCCGTGTGATAAGACTGGAGATAAGCATCTGCAGGCTAAGGAACATCAAGAATTTCCAGCAACTGCCAGAAGCTAGAAAAGAGGCATGGTTTTGATTCTCCCTTTGAGTATCCAAAAATGAACCAACCTTGCTGACATCTTGATTTTGGACTTTTGGCCTCTAGAACTGTAACAGAATAAATTGCTGCTGTTTGGAGCCACTCATTTGTGGTACTATGTTATAGCAGCCCTAGAAAACTCGTATACACACTATGATAGTTCTTACCCCATAGGTCAAGAAAACATGTTTATCTATTACAATTACAAATTCAGGGACTAGAGACATGATAGATAGGTCTACAGACTAGCGGATTCTGTATGAACTAGATCTAGGTTAGGATTTTAGTTATTACCTAGACCTTAAATGCCCCTCACTCTGTCAGAGAGGCCATGATGATGCTTTGGGTCTTTGGTCCTGTGTGTGGTAAACAGACCTTGAAATGATTGGGCATTCCCCTTTCTCCAGTATGTAATTACCTGAGTTAAAGGCTATAAATTCCTTTGGAGGAAGTCTGAGGAAATCAATACCATATGTACCTTGCCATGATATTGCAGGGTCTCTCCTTCTAGGGACCCAGCTTCTCCTTCTGTGAGTTCTGGGTACAGAAATTGGCTCAGATTTGGAAACTAGAGAAGAATCATAACCTCCTGTTGAGCCTTCATCCTCCCAATCACCCATCATTGATTTAATTGTAAAGACTGAGTACTCCATTGATGATCCATTCATTTGGCCTCTAGAGATGCAATGTTCTATTAAGTATCTCCATAACTGTGGATCACTGTCCCCATCCCCCACAGCCTACCTGTTGTGAAAGATAAACATGGCCCAATACTAAACAAGTGAAAACAAATTTTATTTGGTAACTGCTAACAGTAAGGGAAAGAGCTGGGTTACCTTTTGATTTGTACAGAGGTGATCTGGGTGTTTCAAAAGGAGAGTGGGAGTAGGGGGTTGTAGGAGCTCTGCACAGAGAAGTAAAAAAGTACAAAGGGTTCATTGGTGTTAATATGATTAGGCCAGCTGTGTTTCTTAGCTGGCAATTATCAAAGTTAGGATTCTATCCTCACAGAGACTGGAAAACAGAGGCTTTATCCTGCTTGATAACTATTCTTAAAAAGAATGGTTCCCAGGTCATTGGAGAAAGAAACTTGTGCGCTGCAAGAGATACGTATTTATAACTGTAAACTCCTTTTAATAAATAAATGCTCTAAGAAAGAAGATTAGGGCCTATTATTAGGTGTTAGTTACAACAAAAAGTAGATTTTTCTGGTAGCACTGAGTGTTCTCACATGCTTTTTATTGGGGGTAGGGACCTGCGATCACCCAAGGGACACCTTATGCTGCTAGAGGAAATGCTAAAATTTGGTCAAGTCTCTCAGTGGAGGGCTTTTGACAGAGTTGTTATGTGTTGAGAGTTCTGCAGTTCTCAATATTCATTACAGTAATTGTGTCCACATGGTTTCTGAGGTGTCTAATTGTTAAGTGCTGCCACTTGGCCTCTATTATTCAGGATTTTATCATCTCCATTGCTTTCTGTGAGCCCAGTGTTATAATGGTATCACTTGCCATCAGCTCAGAGAACAGCCACCACTAACTGTATAGTGATGTTGGTGTGCCCTTCAATAGTGCATTCCTTGTTCTGAATTTAGTCACCTACTGTGTTTTCCAAACTCATATAGTACATTCACACAGGATGCCTGATTTTCTGGGTGTTTTAACCTTTTTTTGCATCATGTACCATGGCTTTACATGCCATTGGGTTGGCCATTGCTTTTTCCATGCTTCTAAGAACTATGTTAGCAGTGTGTTCTTGCTAAGAACCATCTCTTGGGATTCTTGCCAGGATATTAAAAATCCTTCAGGCCAGAAGAGTACTCTGAATAAACTCTTATCCAACTTTATGTTCTGCACCATTTGATCATGCACCCTTAGAATCCAGTCCCATGTATATCCTCCTAGCTTTTATGGGTAGATGTGGCTAGCTCCTGCAGCTCTTGTGTGGTACAGTACATTTCTTCCTTCAGCAACACCAGCACAACTTTGGCCAAGTTATTTCATGTCTTAACTCTTGTTATTGGCTACTAGAAAGGAAGTCAGAAGCAAATCCTGGAATGGGGCCTGTATTAGTTTGCTAAGGATGCCCTAGGGAGTTGAAAACTGCAAGCTATTTTATGGTAGCACTCTCATAGGCCAGAGAAACAAGTTTTTTATTTCTGAAGGGGAATACAGACAGTTCATTTTTGGCATCCATGAGAATCTGGAACAATGGGATATTCTATGGACCTGTAACAGAGTAAGTGGAGGGTTTAGAGTGGCTAACCTAGTTTTCAAACTAAAACACTCTTCTGTTAGTACAGTGAAATGCAATTTCTTTAGTAAATAGTACCATGTAGGGAGATTTTTGGTGGTCTGTCTTCTGACTGTGATACTAACCTGTTTCTGTAGAACTCTTCAGCTGCCTGATTCTCTACATCATCAAGCCTCCAAGGGATGGGTTCCCTTCCAAAGTTGTCTTCCTGTTTCCCAGCAGTGCTTTCCCAAGAAATAAATCACAAACCTGATTTCACTTTACAATTTCCTTCTTTTCAGATCTTCAATAGCTAATTTGGGCCATTGGGTCTCAGATCTGTTCTTAGAATTTCATTATACTGGGTAAGACCCTTGCCTTCTGGTAGCATGCCTTAGTTAACATTACCTATGTTTCACTACTGCTGGGACCTTGCTGCACTTCTTGCTCTACCACTCAATACCCCTTGATTTGCAGCTTGTAAGTGGGCTCCAAAACTAACACTGCTCCCAATATTTTTCTTTTGCTTACTGGACATCTCCACTTGGATGTCTAAGGATTATCTCAAACTTAACAAGTCCAAAATTGATCTTTCCCTCAAATCCTCAAACTTGAATTTCCATGGTCTTCTTCATTTACTTGATGATACTAGTAGAAGATAGGTTTAGAGACAAAATAATTGCTGTTAATTCTACTCTTCCAGAAGCTCAAACGAAACAAAAATCCCAGCCAGGTATGGTGGCTCAAGCCTGTAATCCCAGCACTTTGGGAGGCCAGGGTGGGTGGATCACAAGCTCAGGAGTTCA